ACTATGCTTGAACGAGAAATGTCACCCCTTTGGGAATGGCCTAAAGACACTACAGTCAGTGGCACTGCCCCGGGGGGTTTTGTCCGGTTTGACAGCCGCATGTAACACCTATTCTGAAAGAACTACACTGGCTGCCAATAAAAGATAGGATCAAATACAAAAGTGCCGTTCTCTGTTTTAAATGTATAAATGATAGTGCACCCTTTTTTTTTTAATCTTAAAACATTCCTGGAATTATGTCATCCACCTAGAGCCCTTAGATCAGCCTCTGATAATCTAATTCTTAAAACTTCAAAACAAAATTACAAAATATACTGCGAGCGTTCCTTTCTATTCTTTGGTCCCCAGGTATGGAACGAACTCCTATATAAAATAAGATCTGCCCCAACAATTTCCATTTTAAAAAATCAGCTGAAGCATTTTTTTATTCACAAAAATACCTGTCATTATGATGTAGTGTGATATATATATATGACAAAACGTAATGGAGTCACTAAGGTGGCCATCTAAGACAAGTGTTATTGTTTAGTGTGATAAGTGTTGTGTGTTAAAATAATGTGGCCGCGGCAGTTAAATTATATAGAAAAAACACAAGGGGTGAAATGGAAAGTGGACGTTTGCACTGGTGGCCGTCTCGGCAGTTTCTACTGTACTTTTAAAAAGAAAAGAATAATAATACAGTGGAAACCTGATATAACAGTATAACAGGGATGGTGGGACCAGAGAAAAAGTCCCGTTACCCCGGTATATCAGACCCCTGTTAAATCCGAAATGCAAGGGAAGTAAGAATTTGTGGACTAATCCAGCTGTATTTAATCACGGGTAGTTTCCCTTGCCGCAAGTACCCACGAATAGGGGTTTTGGCCATGTGGCAGGCCTGCGCATGACAAATTACTACGTGTACGCGTGCGTGTAGCAAGGCTTAGGGCTAGATTCGAAGTCTGCAGCGCACCGCAGCCCTCTCTCGCTTCACCCGCTGCGTGTGCTTGCGGTTGCAGTGGCGTGGCTTGCGTGGGCTTGCTCCTCACTGCGTTATACTCTCTCTCTCTCTCTATCACTTTCTACACAGTTATAACAAGCCTTTGTCCCTGAGTATACAAACCGTAACCGAATGGGCTCCGATGAGGCCCTGTTATTGCCGATAACTTTTAATATAGATAAAGAGTAGGAAAAAACTGGGATTTAAAAATCCCTGTTATTACCGGGCCTGTTATATCATGTACGGTTTCCACTGTAATAATAATAGTACATGTACTCGTAATAGCTCGTCTGTCAATGTCTGAAGATAACAACCAGTACATGTACTAGGCCAGGGCAAGATCGACTCTGGGATCGATTCTTTCGAGTCCAAATGAGGACTCAAAGAATCGATCTTGTTCACAGACTCTAAGCTACGAGTCCGCCCAGGGTCGATGCCTCCCGTCTCCTTTTTTTAAAAAGCCTGGTTCCTAGCCTAGACTCCGAGAATCGAGGCAAGAATCTAAATCTCTACCGCACTATTACAGTCCTGTCATGGGATAGGCCTAGGGCTGTCCCACCCCACAGTCGAGTTTTTCGCCAGACACCGCACCAGGACAGGACTGATCCGGCGCATAAGGCGGCTTCTTTGATGTTGGCCTTGGCGGAGTTATAAATGAATTCCAAAAAATTCTTAAATATTGGCCAAATTTAAGAAATAATAAGATTTTCGTGATCAGCGATCCAAAATTAGCCACCTAACGCGGGGAGCCCAATTTAAAGCCCGATTACCAAGTTAAATTCATTTTTATGAGTTTTGTTTACTTATGGGGTTTTGTCACCTTTTGAATTGGGCGTGCACTAGGCCTTGATACATGTAGATTCAAGACTGTGTCTTCAAGGTGGATGAATCGAGGTTGCATGTGCCTGTGCTCTGTTGCTTCGTATTAGAAAAAAGAGAAAGAGAAAACAGTATTAGGTCATACTGTCCCACCGATGTTGTAGCAATTCACAACTGCTCGAGACTCATTGCAACAAAAATGTCACGCCCCAATAATAGGTGCGGTACATTACTCTCAACTTCAAAGGTTTCCAACGTCAGACGGGCCTTTCCCGGGACGAACTTTCGTAGGCCTAGTGTGGTAGGGGCAAGAAACTGCCAGTCAGTCACTATCAATTGTCTCACGCAACCCCCTACCCCACCCCACCTTCCTTTTCCTCTTCCCCGCTATGACTATGAGTGAATGAGAATGCTAAACTAGGCCTAGGCCTGCTTGTCGTGTCTACCGTGTAGCCCAGTACGAAGCCACGCTGCACACATAGGCTACTGCTACTTTGAATGTTGTTGCCCCACCCCCGCCCATCCCAAATTAAATCATTCACTTCCCTTTTCTCTTTCTTTTGTCTTGAACATTGAACGCTTGCTTTTGAATTTCACTGCACTTTGATCTTCACTGTACACGTAATTTTTTGTAAATCATATTGTGCGTTTTGAGTTGACATCAATGAGTCATCATGTCTGGACGTCGATCTTTCGCTTGGGACTTTGTTTTGATAAGCAGGAAAACAGCACTGTTGTTTGTATGATTTGTAATAATGTTTTGGCTTACAATAACACAACGTCGACAATAACAAAACATTTGTCATCAAAGCATGCTTTGACATATTAGGAAGCAAGGGGTGCAAGAGAGAAGGAGCCTGTGCCCCACGCATTGGCAAGAGTGATAGAAGGGAGGTAACACACACACACACACACACATCCACACCCAAACACCCAAATGCGTGAAAGCCAACTTGTCTTGGCTTGGCACGCGCGCAGACTTAGCCAGTCACGTTTGTCAAACTCGAGAAACCAGTAGGCTACATCCTCAGAGGAGAGTACAGTCGAATCTGTGTAAGACGGAATCGCAAGGGAGCAAGAAAAAGATTCCGTCTTACTCTTAGACATTTTCCGTCTTAGACAGGGGGGTTTAGGGGGAGATGGAGGTGGGTGTGTGGGGGGGGGGGGTTCAAAGGCCCAGCTGGTGGGATCAAGGATCGCTTGTCCGATCGTCAAGCAGTGGTCAAAACTTCTCACCTCTCAATTGCTATCCTGTCTGATAATGACATGCGTCAGTTTTACTTATCCAATTACCTCCTGTGCTTGCATTTCATGGGACCACTGTTTGACCAATTAAAAACAGAAACGTTTGAACATCTCCTTTGCTTCCACCCGTAGCCCCACCCACCAATGCCGCACCTCACTGCCTTCATTGTAACAACGATTCGAGGAACTCTTTTCTCGGCTGGCCTTACGATCATGGCGATTTCACACCTCTGGCTTCTTGCTACCCAGGAAAGTTTCCGTGGTGGCTGGCTACTCCAGCACTCTCACGGGCAGTCGTGAGATTTCACACCCACACTACACTGACCATCTGCATCACTCAGGGCTCACATGATGGGGTAACATAAAGGAATTTACAGTAGTTTTAAGCTCCTTGGGTAACACCTACCCCCAAATTGCACCCCTACTCCCCTTCCTCGCCCAGCGATAGGCACTATGGTGACCATAGCGTTAAGTTTAGAGCCGGCGGAACCAAACTTGCGAGTTTTGTTTCAAATCAGGGCTGAGCGGGCAAAGCATTTTCCGTCTTAGACTCACTAACACTTAGACACGTGAAACCCTCGGAAGGGAGCGGATTTTTCTTTCCGTTTCCGCGTTGGAAGGAAAAGAAATCAAATGAAGTAGTGCTTGATGAAGCCCACGTGGGACGCTCAATGTTATAAACAATCAGGAAACGACAAATGCAGTTTTTGGGACACCTGAATAGACATAAGGGTCTTGAACATCTAGCTCTCACTGGCAAAATTGAGGGCAAGCGAGGCAGGGGTAGGCCCAGAACAACATACTTAGGGAACCTAAACAAATGGGTAACAGGGAAAGATCAGGGAAACGTAGCTTTTCTGAGAGCATCCGAGCAAAGGAATGAATGGAAAATCATGATCGCCGATGTCTGTTGCAGATCTGGCACTGGATGGTGATTCCGCGTTGGACAGGGTTCCGTTTTATACAGGCAATTAAAGAGGAATATATCAAGGGGGGAGCGGGGAGATTCCGTTAAGACAGGTTTCCGTTTTATACAGGTTTCCGTTAAGGCAGGTTCGACTGTATTTCTTAAGGGAAATAGAAGAATTAATTAATTAAAGGTTAAGATGACATGTGGCTTCTGCTGCGACTGATGAGACAAAATCCGACAGAAAAAGTTTGCCACACTTTGAGCATTCAAAAGCTCCTAAACATGTGGCGTGTGAATGTGAGCAGCTTGCAGGCTTTGCTCTTGGTTTCCCTTTCAGCATTCTTTATTAAATTAAATTCATCAAGACTTGCTGCCCACTGTGACTGCCACTCTCTAACTGGTTATGTCAATGTCAGGAGCTAGATTCTCCCATGTCAAGGGATTTATGCTGAAGTCCTTCAGAGACATTTTGTGAGTGTCTTTGTGGTGCTTTTTGGGTGCGCCAACCATTTGCTATCATGAGGACAGTTCAAAACAGAATGCTGCTTTTGGAATTCTGAAATTCTTAGTAGGCTACATGGCCAACGCAGCCAAGCTGAGCCCTTTTGAGCTAAGAAAATACATGTATTAGAAAACAAGACTGTGGGCATTTGCCCTTTTGAGAAATTTGGTGTCTGGTATTTTATCCTGCCATTTGACAGTAAGAAGTCTTCTGAGGCATTTTATATAGAAAAGATTAATTAAGCTTCTTGACACATGGCTTGGGTACACTGTCCAGGTCTCAACACTATACAACAGAGTTGGGAGGACCACGCATTAATATGAATGCCACAACAGTCCACAGAAAAATAAAATGAAGAGGGAGATGGGAAATGGCCAATTGTACAGGTGACTTTCTTTGAACAGGTGGTCATTTGAGCAGGTTCGATCTATATTTCAAATAATAAAACAAATATAATGTTTCCCCACTGGAATCAAAATATAAACCAGTATGTATGAAGTGCAAGTTTGTGATTGCATCAAAAATACTAGGAGAAACTACATCTGTACTTGGTGTTCTCAGCAAAGTAACAGGCTTCTACTCCTTTTATTTCAATGCTTGACAGTTAAAAATGACACAGGCACGCATTGATAAACCACACAACAAGTATCAGTACCAAGTTTATGCACACACACGCACATACATACACGTGATATATAATATAACATGGAGATAACAAACACACACTTTCAGTCATCATAAAATCAAAAGGTACACATTTACAAGGTGTTCTTTATATATAAAAGTGGTGACGGACTTCAATTATACGAGTAAACTGAGGAGTGGAGAAAGTCATCAGGATACCAACTGCCGCCAATAAAAAGATAAATACAAACAAAAGAAAAAAAAGAACCTGAACTGAAAGAGGAAAACTGAACATTTGAAGTGGCCACCCAAAAAATTAAAATTAACCACTGCTCATAAATCCTGGAGGCATCAATATAACAGATACTTTTAATTCCAATAGTAACAGCGGCTGATTTGTATAATGCCATTAAAAAAAACCCCTGAAAATACTTTATCCTTCCTGGGCTGCTCTTGTGGTACAGTACTACAACTACCCGGTACTAAGGCTAACTAAGGATACAGGTACCAGAATATCCTTTCAAGAGGACCCCACAATGATATCTACACCCATAGTAGTTTTAATGTTAAGAATTTCTCCTCGTTCTTACTTCATCTTCTTAGTCAAAAGTACGTGGGTACAATCTGCTTACATAATAGACTATATTATGCACAAATAAAATGTCATCTCTTTGTGATACATCATGTATATATTGAAAAGGGGGATAGAAAAGAAAGGAGAAACAGTTTCAGAGGACAAAACTACTGAAACCTAGAGACGGTTAAAAGAAAAAGATCTGCATATATCTTTTTTACAGATCCATATATTTATGCTGACTTTCTTGAAACCCTAGGGAGGTAGGTAACCAATGACCACACATGCACTGTGTTCTGTGTGACACTATTGTCAGTTCAGTGAACAACACTGCTCTTACAGAATGAGACAGCTAGCTATTGCACTCACAATTGTGAACAAAATTCGAAACACCCACAGAGAAACTGCATTTATTATGCATTTGAGCACGATGGCATGGAGAAAACTAGATCTGTCTGCTATGAAAGCGTCACGTGATCACGTGAAGATAGAAGCAAAGAAGAAACTCTCCTTATTCAAACTGGTGCTGCCACAGGTAATATCTTATCAGGATATTATATCCACAAAACATAAAATACGAGAGATTATTATATGTATCTTTTGTTAAAGCACAAACAAATAAGGATATTTCACAACTTAAAATAAAAACAGATACAAGTATTATTAAAAACACAAATCACACCAAAAAATACACATATAAAGAATGTAGCAGTCTATGTACACAGGTAACAACAACACAAACAACAGACGTCCCTGCTCCACAACACATGAGATCCAAATACATCATAGACTTACACAAAACTTCACATTTGTACAAGACATATACACAGGAACAGAAACATATGAATGAAAACAATATTTATGACAATCAAAAAAATTCTTTTATCCCTGGAGACTCAGAAGAAAACTTGTATACAAGAGACTTGATAATCAATAAATCTTGTTGCCCATAACAGACCTGCCATGCCCTCCAACAAATCAATGTCAGAGCCCTCTGATTGTGTACTTAGCCCAACAGAGAATCCTGATAGAATGTGCATAAAATCCAATTTTGGTCATGAATTCCTGTTTCTGTTGATCGTACACAGCTTATCGTAAATTACGTGAAAATAACAGTTATTTGCAATATTTGCGCAACTTATCATAAATGACTTGAAAATACTATTTTTATTTGCGTGTATTTGAAAACACAATAATTTGCCACATTTCCACGTTCAGTTTTAAACGCAATCATGATCTACTGGCATTTTGGACACTCTAATTTTTTTCTCCGGAAACTCCAATCATTAGAGAGGAATCAGAGGAAAACTTCCCCTTTTGGTCATGGGAGTGATGGGCAGGTGTGCCATAACAAAAAGATCACAGACACACAGTTAATGCAACTATTAGTACTATAAATATTGCACTGTAGGCATATTCAGGGATTATACTGACATTAAATCCACTTAAATTTTCTAATAAAGGCCTCTACTGCAATCCTGTCCAGTGCAACTAAAACCAAGCAAATCCAAGTAAGTCAATGAAAAAATATAAGTACCATGCCTCATTTCCTACCAACATATACCTCATGCAAAGAGTGCTTTATGCCCTAGCATTACCAGAAAAGTGGGAGAATATATATATGCAAGTTCTACAGCATGAAACCAACATGTTTGATACAAATGAAAACAAATTTATGTATATAGTTCACATTGATTGAGAGCAAAACACCTTGTTAAGAATACCGGTAAACAACACCTTCATCATTTTGAAAATTATGCACTGTTTATAAAATTTCCCTTGTGCCAACATCAAAAACGAAAACATGTGCAAACGTATCAATGTAGAAGACAGTTCTGAAATATTGGCACAACGTCTTCCACTATTTGCACTTTGGATATGTAGTCTCATGAACTATGAACAGCTAAAGTGTTTCAATTCCTTAAAAATATATATACATATATATATATATGTGTTGTTTCTTTGTTTTTACTCCAGTGCATAAAAATATACTAAGAGTAAGACATGACATTATCTTATCAGGAGTCCATGATAATAACTCTACCAAAAATATTGCTATAAATTTCAAGAGATACAATAGGCTTTTACTATTCATAACCCCTTCAGTTAGAACAAAATGCTTTCGCATTTTATTCCATTTGTCGTGAACCACTGCAGCTGTGTCAGAACTATTGACTGAGAACAATCAGTATCACAAGATATGAAGATGAGACACGCAAAGACATACTGCTTAACAGAACAGTTTAGAGAAACGAGACCTATCGCTGAGAACAGTTAAGAAGTGCACTTAAAAAATAAAAAAAAATTCACAACATGAGCGTCCTCAACCAATTGTTGATGCTCCCTCCCATGCCAGTGGTCCCTGGTTCCCCTCTACTAACTAGGAAGAAACTCTCATAATTTGATCAGATCTAAGAAAAAAAGAGTAGATTAAGCACCTACTCCTAGCACTGAGCTGACGACAAGGACGGTTATTATAGATGAAATGAAAAAACTGTAAAGCCTAGAGAGGTAGGACAACTTCTTTCATAAGTCTATATTCCAAGCAATTTAAGCCACAATAAAGATGGTACTGGTTCGGTGAATTGCAAATCGCAGAAAGTCAGGCATACTCTTAGACAAAAGTTAAAACTATGGGCACTACCCCTGGTATACTTGCTTTATTATAACAAAACTTTCAAACCTTATATACATGTAAGACATAGAATTGTAAACTTAATACTGCCCCTGCACTGTAGACGAACACTGTAAACAAAAAATGTGTGATTTTTACCAATAAATAAGAACAGTCAGTCAACTTGAAGCTCATGCCAACTAGCATAAAATTGGAAATGAGAAAAGAGATATGCAAAAATTACATACAATACCCTTGCACTTAACTGATTGGTATTTATTATAAATAATCTAAAAGACCAACCATGGTATAAGATAATGAGACTAGAACAACATTTTGCTTTTTGACACCAGTTAAGACAAAGAATAAAAACCTCTCAAAGCATACCTTTAATTTCATTAACAACTATGAAAGTCCAAAAAAATAAAGAAGTGAAAGCAGACAGCATTATTAGTCCTCTCCATGTAAAGAAAACTGACTGACAGAAGAAACAGACATCAACAATCAGCACAAAGTAAAAGAAAGAAATACACAATTGTCATCAAAAGGTGTTAAAATGAACGTTAAAAATCAGTGCTGAATAAAGAATATCAAAATCAAATAAAACTTTATAAATGAAAAACCAAACAAAAACCCTGAAGGACTAATTTGAACATGTTGGCGGATCATGTAAATATCTAAGTTTCATCCTCAAATTTTGAAAGAACAGAAACAAAAGATGTCGATGAAACAACGAAACGAGAAATCATTGTAAGCACTCTAGATTAAGATATGATGACATTGTATTTCAGTTTCACCATTTTGACAATCTGCTGTATACACTCTAAATGACTCAACAATAACTTGCTAGATCTCCATGTAGTTCCAGCAAACACAGCATTGTTTACAACTACTGATGATCATATAACCAACTCGGTTGCATCAGGTGATCCAAGACAAAAAAGTGTGGAGGAATCAAAGGAGAAATTCTTCATTTCATCTTTTATAATGTTTCCTAGACCTCTAAATAATCCAAATCCAAACAAACTGAGAACTGTTGACCTTGTTTTAAAATGTATCAGCATTCTTCAGTTAAAGCAGTATCTTGGATGCCATGCCAAAAAAGGAAAGTATGGGTCACTGAATTTTATACTGTTCTACTCATATATCATGGCCCCAATAAAAATTACTCCATCCCTTCCAAAAAAAAAAGAGAAAACTATTGAAAGCCCTACAAACATCAGGACGAAATGTTATTGTGCACACTCCACCAAAGAGCAATATGATGTAGAGAAGAAAAACTTGATAGACAAAACAACAAAAACATTTTTGGGACGAGTTCAAACAGCTACACAAAAAGGTTAAAAGTCTAAGCATTATTGTCTTTGTATTTGCTAAAAGTAAAATGTATTCGACAAAATATAAGGCTATAAAATAATAAAGTAGATTATTTTTCAAAGAATATTCAACCCACAGACTTCTGCTTTCTTTTGAATGAATTGAGTAGAAAAGAATAGATATCTTCAGCGTTATTGTCAGGCATAAGAACCAAACTCATTTGTTCTTCATAGCAATGAAGCCAACTCCTGCAGCGGCTGCAACTCCCAGAAGTAGTAAGAACACGATCATACCGCTTCCAAACTTTTTCCGGTCTTCCAGTTTTTTCTGTGGAGATGGAAAAGACAGCCTTCCCTGAACACAAGCTTGATAATACATAAACCATTCTAAGGTGATTTTTAATGAATATGCCACTCCAGAAAGCAAGTTTAATTCCAAAGAAAGAAGACATAATGGCCCACTCTTGCCCAACTTTTCTTTCATCTAACCTTCTCTGACAACACTCCCACATGGATGACTTTATTCATCTTAGTTCCAGTGAAAGGCTGCTAAAATTGATGAAAGACACCCAATTCTTGCTAAGGGACTAATCCAAATGCTCTCAAGCTCTACAATAACTGTGCAAAACACTTTGTGCTAGGGGACGGGGTAAATTAGAGATACCTCTATTGCTCCATAACAGTGTAAAAACCCTTGCTCCACCTATCCACTTATGAGTGGCAGTTCAATCCTCTTTATTATTCCTTTGTTGTTGCAGTTATTCTGAACTTCTGTGAACTGTGAGTCACTAAATGGGCATTGCTTGAATGATTCTCTACCCTAACTGACCTGCTCTTTCCACTACAAATCTTCAGTCAGAAAGCTGGGCAATTTTCTGCCTTGACTCTACTATCAGGTCACTCTACAGGAAAAGTCAGGTGGCTCTCTGACATGATGTTTGCTTCATTTTCATAGGCTACCCTTTATACAGAATGATCGTTAGGTAATAAATATTTTGGTCCAAGATTCAAATAGAAGAAGTACAAAGTCATAGCTATGGAAATAACAGGGAGCAATATTTCAACCTGAAAAAAAACTTGTTTCCGAGTGTGGCATATTCAACAGTAAATTGTTTAGGAAATAGGTGGGGTTACACGGTGCATGAACGAAAAGAGTGTACATGCCAGAAAAGAGTTTAAGTGTACCAGGATAAAACATCAAAGTCTGATGAAAAAAAAGTCATCTCTGAAATAAACCATTCTATAAATTACAGTACACTCTACAGCTAGGAAAATAAAATATTGTTATTTCATAAGTCAGGTTTTTCTCTTAAGGGTTATAGCTGTTCATCCAAATCTGTTGATGGCAACCATCTGACCACCTGCAGTATGGAGGTGATTTCAAGAATATTTTTTTTCATAGATCTTAGAAAATGTAAAAAATTAAGTAAAATTATGGGTGATATGCTTATAAACTTATACATGCATAATTTTAAAAGTAAAATGAACGGAACTTTGAAATATATGATACCTATTCGAAAATTATCTTTTTAATGGGATTATAACATTCCCTCATTGTTCTGGATATCCAGCTCCTTGCCACTGCACGTCTTATCACACACGGCACAGCCATTGCAATTGCACAACTTTGAAAACTGAAGAACCATTGTACTGACGAAGTGCATACTGTATAAAAACACACGTCGCTAAAAGGCAACCTAGAGTCACATGACTGATTGTTTGCCCAATAATGCACATAGAACATTGAAGGGCCTGTTTTGACTAAGCTTGCCAGATGTTTGGTCCTAAAGACCACATTTGTTTCCCCCACCCATAAACAGCATGTATTCTACTAATAATAACATAATGTAGATCAATTCTATAGCGCCCACTCCTGTGTGAACACAGCTCTAGGCGCTTTACATAAATGCATGTACGAACAATATTCACACACACGCGCACACACACACACTCACGCACACATTACACGCACGCACGTGCACACACATGCATGCGAAACACACACACACACACATCGACTTGCTTATCACACGCGCACTCTTCCACATCGTTACGAAATGAGTACATACAAATACATAATAAAATAATATACACAATGCAATTAGCAAAATACATAAATGGATACATAGTCATTTCATAACATTGTACGAACATGAATCTACTGATATAAAAATGATGTCATTAAATGTGTCTTTAACTCATTATCTTCGGCAAACCGCTCCCAGCGGCTCATGGTCGGAACTGCTGTGCCGGTGAGCCGCTGACAGTGGCTCAGGCACATTCCTTTACAACGACTTTGATATCAATTTACTTTTCGGCAATTAAGTCTCTTTTACCGGAAGCTCATTCATTAGATGAAGAACTCTATCAAAGTAGGTTAGCTAGGTTTCGATTTAATGACGTTTTTTGTCATTTTTTAGATTTAGGACCAAAAAAGGGCCCCTGTGTAGTGGGTTTACCCTCTTCTGAGATAAGGAGTAAAAGATATTTTTAAATTTAGACTCAGATGTTGTATGTCTCAATGGTTGGGGAAGAGAGTTCCAAACTGATGGAACCTTTCAAACCTCCAATTGGTCCCACAAGATAGCTGAGTGCCTCTTGTAGGTCACTCGTAGTGTAAAGTGTATTATGTTCAACAGCCTACCGATCAAATCCATCAGCAGTCATATATGCTGTCTAACTCATTAAACGTTCACTAGATGCCTCATCATTAAAACAAACGTGTACTTAATATTTGTATCTATTCTCATAAGCTCACCAAAACAAACGCTTCGGCTCCGTGTTGCACTTTCATTGTCACTGTTTCTCCAGCTGTGATGAAAATCTGGACGGCTTCATTGTGAGTCACAGACTGGATATTGTGGCCATTAACCTGTAAATACAAACACCAAAGCTGAATTAATAATCACGAATATTTGGAAATGAAATCCAAATTTACCCTAGGAAGCAGACATGTAGCCTACTGTCTAAGTAAGAAGGTCAGTGTGCAAAAGTAAAGGAACAGTCTAGTGCACATATAGCAAAATTGGCAAGTCATGGAAATCTTTTTGTTACATACAAATTTCACTACTGTATGTCCAAATTTTATTGTTTTAGTAGAGGTTTTACGGCGCTCGCAACTGCATAAAGTCATATGAGCGCCAAGGGGTGGGTGTCAAGAGAGAAGTCCTTACAGGGAATCAGACTTACTCTGCTCACCTCTTTAGCTTCAACAGCACAAAGTCTGCTTCGACTATCAAGGCACCCCAGAAATAGCGGGTCACAAGAGTGTGACAAACATACAAAAGAAGTAAAGGAAAAATGACGATAGTAAGGATTAGGAAAGAAAAAGCAGCAGTTCCCTGTTGCAGTTCAGGCACAGTTATGAGCATGACATTGTTGGATCAGCCCATTTACAATTCTACAGTCCTTTAGATCAAGAAATGTCCCCCCCCCCTGTGGGAATGGCCTAAAGACACTTTAGTCAGTCCTACCCCTCCGGGGGGTATGTCCAAGTTTTAGGCTATATCAAGGGACAATTGGGTTAAAATTTTACATGAATTATACCTCCTATGCAATGACAACATGTACGTTGAGTTCAGTCATAAAAACATACAGAATTGGGTTTTTGATACCTATTTTTTAAATCAACCTCTACTAGGATCAGCCATTTTTCTTCAACTGAGAGGCCTTTCCTCTTTTTTTGCTCCGCCACAGCCAATTATTTTCTACAGCTTTACCTACACCTAACTTTGTAGCTCTAAATTTGAATTTACAAAATTTGTCCCAAAGTCAACATGTTTCTATTGACAGCTTTGGTACCTGAGATACAAACAAGACCACACAAGAATAGCAACAAAAAGTGACTTATTGTAGAGACAATTCTCAATTAAAACTGAGTTCAATTGCCTCAAGGATCTTGTCTCCCTCCTTCAAGCGCTTGTCTCTGAAAGCAGCACCGGCTTCTTTGAGCTTAGTTACAAATATACCAGAGTCTTCCTTGAAGTGTGGGATGTCTGTTCCTCCACGAATATTAAAGCCCAAACCTGAAACAAATCATAAATCATATATTGTGAGGGTAAATATTGTTGTTTTCTTTGTCTCTTGATACAGCAGAGCAACACTTTACTTCAAAACAGTACGAACAACGAGTACGGCCTCCAAGCCCAAGACAGCAATAACAACCTGGCTCAGAGAAAATTCTTTTACAACCTCTAGCTTATCCCAAAGATGTGTTGATGCCACCATTAGACATAAACTGCTTTAATAATTCCCTAGCAACAGTGATGACAAGTAGAAATAGGGCCTTTGTATTGTAACTTACATTAACAACATTCACACATGAGAACTCATTTTTAAAAATAAGACAATTTCACTCAAGAAAAAGGCCTGGTCAGTCTTTACACATCCTTATTAAAACCCAGGTCTTTTTTTCATGCCAAAGCTTTACCATGAATGTTTTAAAAGATATTAAACTTAACAGCATAAAAGTGTAATTATTCTTGATACTCATATACAGCAGTCTCCGCCTAATAAGTAATATCCCACCACTTACAAATCTGGTCCGCTCAAGTACCCCCTAAGGTAAGATCCCGCTCTGAAGGACGATATTCGCCTAAGATCCCGAATTTCACTTCACAATTTAAGAAACAAAAACCCACATGGGCACAGCTGATCAACCATACAGAGAAAATGTACGATCATTACACTGCCCATTGTATCAAAGAGCATCCACTCTCCTGTATCACATCTCCGTGTAAATCTCCATGAAAAGGTAGAGTTAATACAGACCGGATTACACCGAGGTGTTAACTCGTCAATGCTCCCCTCCCCCCCCCCCCCCCCCAAACATAAAACTCGCATAAGCTCTCTGTTTGAACTTACATTATGCGCTGAATGGGTAGGGCCTAGAGATGTCCACATCAGACAAGAGCATATCAAACTATCAAACTGAGAACTCTTTGGTGCTTTTGTTTCCCTGACCATTGCAATAGTTGTCTCAACACTCAAATTTGCAAGACAGACTGAATTTAAATTGGTGAAGTCACAACACAATGGAATTTGGGCAAAGATGGAAAGCTATTAATTTTGAAAAGGCAAAGGAGAGGAGTAGCAGGATTGACGCATGTCTTAAGACTAACAATTAGATAAAAGTGAACATTTTGATGCTCTTAACACTGTGACTGATTTACATGGTGCTCGCCATAAAGTCATAGAAACCCACCTAAGGGTCACGTCAGTAAATTTTAGAGAAAGGGTGGACCATTCAAAGATTGGGGGCCTTAACATGATTCACTGTGGATTCTCGATTAAGCGGGTTGGGTAAGATCCTATTCGCCTAAAATCCCACATTTTCCTTGTTCCCAAGCACTGGGATCTTAGCTGGAGACTGCTGTTCTAGTGAGATTTCATGAGTTTAAGATCCATCAAACAGACAACAAAAAAAAAATTGTGATACATGTACTGTATGATATAAAAAATCCTGAGCTGAGAAAATGTGATACCAAATTCCCATTCCATGGGCCAAATTCCCTCTTTTAAGAGAATCATATTCACATGTCTGAGCCCAAAAAAAAATTCCAAATTTTGTTCATCAATGTTACCACATTGCAAAGTGTGGTGATTTACTTTTATTTTTATTATAAATTTTCCCAAATTAATTTGCAGATAGCAAAGGGAGAAAAATAATACAAAATAATTTGTTCTCATTAGTTCAATCAATTTTACAGAGATGCCAAATGAAGAAAAAAAAAAAAGGTGGATTTTAGGCAAGGAGGACAAATCATTTTAAAAGGATTTGGTGGACTTTGACCCCAAACAATATTTATCCCAACAGGTCTAATATATTTCTAGATGGCCTATAAAGCAACATCCTAAGACCATCTATTTACTACACCAGTATAGATCCTAAAGGTAACCTTCGTTATATTTACTGGGTGATCTTCTGATGTTTCTCAAAATCAAAGACTGTAAAGGTAGGGTACTAGAAGTTGATATTCTACACACTCACTAAAAACAAGGGCAAATTTTTATAAACTCCCTAACACAGATGCAGCAAGCTACTAATAGAGACCAAACCAACAAATTTTTATATAACTAACCATCACAAATCAATGATTTAAAAAAAAAATCTCAACTTCATAGTGCAAAATATCAAACTATGATCCCTAATCTCCCCCTCGATTAAAAAAACCTCACAAGACATGATGTGTTATTATGCACGCAGTTCATGGCGCCCTGAATGTAATGTAGTTTGCAATTTAAGAATGAACTTGCTTGCTTCACCTCCTACCCTTTTCCCTTTTGCTTCTTCTTTTTTCACCTCTTCCCCGCCTTGGCACCCCCCCCCCCCTTCTTCGAACAACTTTTATTTTCAAATTGTCGAGCATTGCCGGGTCCGCACACAGGAAGAAGATCTAAGTCGTGCTCACGAACGAGGGCTTGTCGACCAAGGCTGTTTTGCTGTGCTCGCCTTCACCCTCTGTAGATCTAAACTCCATTGCATTCAGACCACCGCTGCATTATTTTTCACGCAAGTATTCCTGTACTGTTTCCTCCTTCACATTCACTTTAAGTGAGTTTGAACAACCGTAGCGTTCCAGTCGTGCCTCTGTGCCAATGGTGGATGATTCAGGGCGCCATGAACATAATCACTGCACATTATGCAAAAAGATCTGGTGTAATGGGCCCTATAGTTCAAATAAATACATCAATATTTTTATGACTTGGCTTATAATTCTATTTAATTTCTAAAGAATGTTGTGAAATCAGGGTGAAAACTGAAACCATAGTATAGATTCTAGATCTAGGCCTAATGAAAACGAACAAGCACAAGGAAAGATATGAAGCTACAGCGAGCACCTAGCAAACCTCTGTGATTGACCCAAATATAGATGACATATTTCCGAATACAACTCATTTATTTCTTAAGTTAATTAAAATCGTTAGTATTCAATCATAGTCATGGTCACTCTATGTGTGTCTGTGTGAATGTGCGTGCGAGTTAAACATTTGCAAGCAAAAAATCTTACTATAAAATTAAGAGAAATTGACTTTTACCCTTTAAGTTTCCAAAAACAAGGGTTTAAATACCCCTTAAAATAGTAAACCAAAGTGTGAAGGAACCTCTTAAGTTGGCCTTAAAAGGGGAGCCCTGCTCCCTCTCTCTTTCTCTCTCTCTATCTCTGTCAGTGTAGGTTAAATGAAAATGACGAATGGTAGATTGGTCAAGGATCACTGCTTCGTTTTCCTTCATCTCATGGGATGGAACACTTGAAGCAGGCCAAAATACGTCACTGACTAAAACCGGCAAATGCAACAGCGTCTGCAAACTGCATTCAGGGCGCCCTGAACGTAGCCTGCCAACTATGTTCAGGGCGCCGTGAACGTAGCCTGCAGACTACATTCACAGCGCCGTGAACGTAGCGGCACCATGAACGTAGCCACTGCGTAAAACAATACCAAATTCAGAAACCTAGAATCCAGATTCCAGCAGTAAATCCTAATATGATAAAACCATAAAATATAATCCACGAATTGACATTCCTCGACTCAGATCACTACCTCACATCCACTCACACCCCCCACAGGCCAAAGCCCGTAAAAATATATACTAGATCTGCTAACAAAATAGTAGGTAGGCCTAGGCCTCTATATTATATATATAATAATCATATCTCATCATACTATAAGGTATAGGCTCCAATATTCTAACAACAGATACTGAGATCTTGCACTAAATCACACAAGCAAAGACTACTGGATATCGATACTGATTTAAATATTGGTAAACTTTTACTTATGCACGCACACACAGATGCATTGATTTGAGGGCTATAATTTTTGCTGTAGAACACACGTATGGCCACTAAAACCCTTGCAAATCAATTGTTTTCAAGTAAAAATCAATCCTAATTGCCAAAACATCAAATTATTATGAAATGCAGGGGTCAGGGGCGGTTTGTTAACTGGGCAAGACCGGCGGTGCCGGTCAAATTTTTGTCAGCTGGACTGTTGACAAGATATTTATTGCTGATGATGATTTTCATTCAGTTTTAAGTAAATCGAAACAAACATGTATCAACATTCAAAAAGCACCGCGCTGATTTGACGGCGCTCAAATAGACAAGTGGGATTCACTGCTTGTTTTTTTTCGCGACAGAGCCTATTCCATCACGTTTGTTTATCGCGCTGGCTCGTAACTTTAAATCGTCTCTCATCTGTCACGCCGTGGAACTTTGTACAAGGGCAAACCAAACACAGCAGGCTTAGCGATGACGTCAGTCCCCTGGGCAAATCCATCTACTGCCCTCAGAGCGAATAGAGTATCCCTTGATTGTCAAATTGGCCTCTGTGCTGTTTACAAAATTAAGAATGAGACTGTCTTGAGCAGCACAGACACACATGAATTACTTTATCAGCAGTACATGTATTTATCATTCAGCCTTTCTCTAAATATCATCAGAACATTTATTGTCAGCATGGCACTATTCTTTTTTGTTTATTAAATTTTTAGCCGCCTATAGTTCCTGTTTGGTATTTATTCATCGCTTTCTCCCCACTAATAACTTACCTGGCCCATATGAGTCTAGCCGGCGAAAAGAGGAATCATCTAGTGAAGATATATAAGGAGAATTATAACGAAGACCGTTAGGCATTCGGCTGTCAGTCTGGGCCGAAAACAATAGGCCTACCCCCTCCCTTCCCTCCCCTTTTCCACCGTCACCCCAGCTAGACACCAAGTTCTATAATTAGCATTTGACACACTTCCCCACTTTGTTACAACAGTGTTCTGAGAACAGAGAAGTACGCTGAAGAATGTCTGATTACATAATGATGGAAAACTGCTGTGTGCTATAGTATCACTATCAGATTGTAGACTTGATCTGCATGGGACAACGTCAACGGTACAGTATCAATTGACTTTTTGTCTTCATGCAGGACAGTTCTTATTACAGGTCGAGTGCATTTCGATATTGTGTGTGGGTGTGTAGAAAGTAAAAGTCTTTGCTTAAAGTAGCCTACTGGAGGCCAGGACCAGCTGTTTATTGCTTCTCACTTTCAGTTTGTTTTCTAGCATAGAGACTCTAGTAGTGTTTCTTTTTCTGCGCCGATCAAGTAAGATTCTATTAAGTTAACTCACTTCAGACGGGTCACACAACAGTTGCGTGACCCCCGCCGCGACGCTCGCGACGGGTCTCACAAGCCCTGCGTGACCAACTTTGGAATTTTTTTTTCGCTCTACAAATCACGCACGGATCGTGAGACCCCCCTCGTACCCTTGTTTGGCCAAGCCTGAGCTACTTAGACTTCGTTTCGTATCTCTGAGGCCGGTAGTTTTTAAGTTATTGAAGGTGAAGGACAGTGACCCCAACTTGGGTTGAACAGACCGGAACTCGCGCTTTGTTTTTTTCTATACAGCTGATAGTAATCCGACAGTCGCGTCGTAGTAACGGTCGAAGAAGTCGCATGAACAAGAATCACAGAATTTCGCCGTTTTCTATACTTCTGTACGTTTTACTAGTTCTAGTTTCTCAGAATATGATATGTCTAATAGTTAGGAACCTGGATATGTACCCAAACACGGCCTGAGTCGTAGTTCTAGGGCTAGATCTAGCACTAGTACCGGTGTTGTTTTTCGCGCAACGAAATCACAACGTCGTGCCGTACATCTGTCTCATGTAATTCAGTGTATGGGTCTGAATCAATGCACAGACCAGCTTTTATATTTTCACCAAACACTCGCACATGTATACAAATCAAACCAGAACATTTTGAACTTTTATTTTTGTTGTTGCAGTGAATTTCATTCTACTTGTCACGTCTCTGGAAATTTTTCGGAAAATCAAATTCATGCCAATTTTTAAAAAATCATACAAATTTAAGTATTACACTTAGACAATTTTAGTTTTTTGTATTAGATTAAGCTTGAATGTTACTTTACTGTGTCAAAAAATGATTACAATAGGGTAATTCTGAGAGTTGTGGTGATTTATTGAAATACCCCCAAAAACGCCAGTCTTCAACGCTTGTGACTGGTGAAAGGGCCCAGTCGCAAGTGAGTTAATCTCAGTAACATCCATCATCATACATTATTATGATTTTAATATTGTTTCTTGACACTACTACCATATTTCAGCTCTTTCACATTATATATTATAATGTTTACACTGGTGTGTGTGAGTGGGGGAGGGGGTGGGGATGGCGAAAGCAGGGGTATAAAATGAGAAGAGAGAGACAGAGAGAGAGAGAGACGCAGTGGCAATTGACAAAAATTGACTTTTTGTCAATTGCCACCGAGTAAATTGGAGCTCTTTTGCGTTGGTGGGTAGATCAAGCTTATTGTGCTCGAGTGCTCGGTGTTGTGCGTTCGCCTCTCTGTCCCTCTGTGTGTGTGTGTGTGTGTGTGTGTGTTTCTTTTCCTGACCCCCGTCCCCCGATTTATGTTCCCCGCGATATAACGTGAATTTCTGCTTGAGTATGTGTGCGTTTGTGACCTTCTACTTCTAGAATTGCCTGTGTTTGTTCTACATCAAAGTGTAGTACAGGCTAAGGCTAGCCTAAATCAAGGCTAGCCTAGAATCCTAGATCTAGGCCTACGTCTCATTGAAAAAACGCCAAGTTGACCGTAGCTCTAGACTAGATGCTCGTCCAATGAAATTATTGAGAACAAATTGACCCATTAGACACACATTATGTACAATGCTAAAGAGTGTTGTTTTCAGACTTGACACCGCTTCACTCGGTGGCAATTGACAAAAAGTCAATTTTTGTCAATTGCCACCGCGTCACTCGGTGGCAATTGACGCTACCTAATCAAACATGATCTGTCTTTTCAAAACAACTATGAAGACCACCACTATCTAGATATCTAGATTCTAGATTAGATCTGGATTTATTTTGAAACTGAAGGTTGAATTTCAGATGGAAAGCAAGGGCAAAACTTTAACAAACAATAATAGAAAAGACATCAAATCAACCACTCCTCACAAATCTGAGTGAATAAGCTCAGCAGCAACTGCAAGAGCATTAGAGGTTTTTGAAATACCTGTTTCACCACGATGCAACGTTATTTCGGAGATGGGCATTCCATCCGTCATGTTGAGTGTCGTCGGCATTGTTGGTTGACTACCTTTTCTCCAACCACAAGAACAAGCCCGGTCACTGCCACAGCATAAACGTTGCTATTTTACTGTTGACAGATGCTACGAGGTGGCTATTCCCAAATTTGAAGGCTGAATAGACTAAAATGTTCTCACCTCAACCACCGGTGGGGAAACCGGCGTTTTGTGGCCTTGAACAAATGTTTTAAGGGCTTTTAAAGGTATAAAACAAGGGACAAAAATGTCTTTCAGGGTTAGGAACAATGAAATTTGTGGCGTTGTCCCATGACGTCACAAAACAAATGACGTAGAAACGAAGATGTGTTTTCCGGTATGAAAATAGAAATCACATGATTTATTAGGCCCTAAACTAAACCAATGATAGTACATAACAAGATGGGCCACTTCTCTCTTTGAGCCAATTAAAAAAGTGTCCTCCAAATTTGGTGGCGCCCTCTTCACAAAAGCGCACTCTTTGCGAACAGAGTTACCCTACTTGAGTTTTAAAAAATCAAAGTGAAACTAGCAAGTTTTGGGATAAATTTCGGAAGAACGCTTTTTTAAAATGGTTACGCTGACAAAAAACCTCTTCCGGAGGAAAGGGTGATGGTTTTCTTTGTTTAATTTGACTTTAGAATGAAAGGCGAGAGGTCATTAAAATATAAAAAAAACTAAAACTCCGCACTGAACGTACCCGAACTGCTGATGAACAGCAGTCGATCTGCGCACGCAAGGAGGTGCTATTCCTATTCTTCTTCTGGAAAAACGAAAGAGAGCTTCACAACAGACTGCAGCGCCATCTGAAGCAAAGAGCATACTTCCTGCGGACACTTTTTTGGCTGAGTGGCCCATCTTGTTATGTATTATCATTGACTAAACTAAACATAATAAACAAATCTTTGAAATCAAAATTCAGAAATTTAGTGTTGTTTCTTTATCTTAGGGTATAATAGGCTAAATGTTTCTACAATTTTATTCGTTGTAATTTCAATCTTGTATGGCAGGTATGCAAAGTGTGTGTTTTTTTTATCTTTTGGTATTACCTTTTAGATCTAATCTATCAGACTACACTTAGGGCCTACGACACGCAGTGTAAGACCTAAAAACTATTTAGAATGTTTAGATGTTTTTTACCCGATTTTTTAAATCTTCTTTTTTCTTTTTAGGAACATCTTTTTAGCCTTAGGCCTAGGCCTACTCGCAAATTAACCCAGCAGTCAACTCTCAGGGAGCACTCAATATCCGATCTCTTAAAATTCTCTTCGACTCTCTCTGATCTGATATCTCTCTCTCTCTCTCTCTCTCTCTCTCTCTCTCTCTCTCTCTCTCTCTCTCTCTCTCTTTCTCTCTCTCTCTCTCTCTCTCTCTCTCTGCTCTACTCTGCTCTTATTCGTCGATATATCTCTACTCTCACTCTCTTCGTGATCTCGATCTCTCTCTCTTCCCCCCCCCCCCTCTCTCTCTCTCTCGCACACACACGACACACACACACACACACACACACACACACACACACACACACACACACACACACACACGCATATTGTGTGTGTGTGCATGTGTGTGTTTAATTGCCTGTCCGTTGAGAGCATAGACGTACACTGTTTAAAAGGGGGTCTCCTATGGTTGAGACAGAGAGAGACAGAGAGAGAGAAAGAGAGAGCGAGAGAGAGAGAGAGAGAGAGAGAGAGAGAGAGAGAGAGAGAGAGAGAGAGAGAGAGAACAACAAGGAAGTGAGAGACAACAAGAAAGAGAGAGAAAAAATGAAAACAGATAGGCTTACACCAAACTGACAAGCAACAATTAAACAGTAGGCCTACGCGTCCTTTTTTAACACATACATTTCCTACTTGACTCACACGTAATTTTGCATATCATTAACACGTACCCCCACCTCGACATGTGCCAAACATTTTTAATTAATAGCTAGGATAGAAGGACAATATATGTTTGGTGCTTAATTTATAACATAATATATATTATAGGCCTAGAATCTACGTGGGGTTTTTTTTATTGCAGGGTGGGGAAGTTATACACAGCCTAAACATTGATACAGATCCCCTGACATTAGATCTATAACAACGTTCGAGCAAAAACCCATTGGCAAGGATTCAAAATGATTAGATATTCTATATTTCTCGGCTCTAGAGAAAGCATGAATTCGTTCTTTTAACTTGTATAGTTTTAAAGTATTCAAAACACAATTTTAGTGTAAATATGTGGTGGTGAAAAAAGCAACAGTGAGTGAACCAAAACTCCGACAAGCCGACAAGTAGATTGCATTCAATTCCAGGAACAATGTAAGATACCCCCTGCGCAAATTCATCGTGAGTATAGCAAACTGGTTATACAATCATTGTAACTTTAACGTAGAGAGATTCTGATCTTTTCAACCAGAAGAGTCTATTATATTTTCCGAGCGAAGTGTGAAGACGAAGACGAATTCAAGTTAGATCTACCGTAATTTTCTTTCGCTGTTGGCTGTTGGCATAATATTATAAACTGTTATGATTAAATATTCGTTTAATTCTCTTCACTGTCTATGTTATAGGTACGTTTCTAAAGGTTTAGTCCGTGGACCATGTTGCCCTAGATACGTTCAATAACTTCAATAAGCATGCTATTGTGATTGGAAAAAAATGACAGACTTTTGCTTTTAAAAGCGATATTGCCGGAGCTGTAAAATTTTTAAATTCGTAGAGACAATCGACTGGGATTTTTTATTAGATCTAGATCTAGATCTAGAATCTAGATCTAGTACTAGAAGAATCTAGTACTTAAAAATTAATGAATTTTCTAGAATACAGTACAGGAGTTTGAAAAAAATATTCACCTGTTAAGACAAAGGCCGTCGTTATTCGGACTCGGGTCCGGAAAAAAGGAAGTGTCTTCGTTCTATAGATATCTAACGTTCAGTGCTTCCAATTTTCCGCCATTTTTTAGTTTCCCCCACGCCTTTTCTGCCGATCAATTCCCGCCGCCTCATTGATACGCCCCCCCCCCACCCCACCCCCATGTTTCCCACTTTCTTTGTTGTAGAAAAAGGTAAAATTGAAGATTAGCAGACCACCTGGCACCTGCATATTATGAGCTGTGTAAAAAAAAAAGACCAATTCGTTCAAATACACACAAAAGCCTGTGTCATCTCGATTGTTTACCAAGAAAAAGTTGTGTTGCTGTGTAGAGCCAGCTGAGCATACGGCAACTTTTGATTCCATAGACCAGCGCACAATTCATTACGTAGATCTACGCCAGGATTAGCTTATTATTGTAATAATGATCAGTTGCCAGGGGGAAAAAGACTGACGCGTATGCGACGTTCAACGCCCGGACCGATAGTGCCCCCCCATCCCTGACACGCACACAGCCACACGTGTGCAGGCCGCCCATCCGACCCCGACACACGCTAACGAGCCATCTTTAATTGCTTCTGATGATCTCTTAACAAATAAACATTTATTAGAAGCGCTATAACTTTTCAAGCCGGCCTCAAATTCATCATAAGATAACAACTCGGCTCCTGCACAAAACGCCTTTTTGCCCGAAGTAATCCCGGTCTCTACCCAGCCTGAGGCGAGTCACGAGTGAGGCAGGACAGGAAGCCGGAGTCACGAGTCACAGGAAGTCGGAAGTGATGTCATGCTGGACAAGAATCAGAGTCTGAATAACATTTTTTCATATTCGGACTCGAGTCCGAATAATCACTTCGTAAGACAAATTGATATATAAAACGAAGTGGCTAGCCGTACTTAAGTACGGCTAGACTGCAAGTCTAGCCGTACTTAGATCTAGGTTTTTGGCCCTATCGACTCAAGCCTGTTAAGTACACAGGTCTCATTAGATCTAGATCTAGTAATTATTCAGGTTCAAATACATGCAAGTCAGTAAGGCACCTTTTTGTTTTGTCTGAAATACAAATACTTTAGGCATTGCAAACTAAAAATTTCATTTACAATTTAGCCATCAATATTAAGTACGGCTAGCCTGACAGTCTAGCCGTCCTTAAGTACGGCTAGCCTGGCTGTCTACCCGTACTTATCTTAGGCCCTATTAACATTAAAAAACAGGAGGTTTAAAATACATAACATGCACTGTCATTTAGGCACCTGGTTTCGTCTCAAATACAAATACTTTAGGTACTGCACACTAAAAAAGTATATTTACAATTCAGTAGGCCTATTTTTTTTGTTAAATGGTCAGTCTAGCCATCATATTAAGAATAAGTACGGCTAGACTGAGTCTAGCCGTACTTAAGTACGGCTAGACTGCCAGTCTAGCCGTCATTAAGTACGGCTAGCCTCTTCCTATATAAAAAGTCACTGTGCAAAAGTTGGAGAATCTAGATCTAGAGAATCTAGATCTATGTTCGATGGTTAAGGAGATATTTCACAATAAGTTGACCGCACTATAGGCGTAAGTTGGTATACTATGAATTTAATTTGTACTCTTAACTCATATTCTACGCAAGGCGTTACATAATTGATGATCTCTTCTCAAACAAATAGCATATATAATCATCGTTCGCCCCCACATTCCCTTCGTAAGGCTGGTGAGGCTGTAGCCTAGGGCCCCGCGCCTCAGGGGCCCCGCGCATGCAAAAAAAAAAAAATTGTCCTCTTGTTGAATTGTTGTTTGTTGTTTGTATTGCTGTTTATTTTACAGTTGTTGTTGATGTTGATGAGAAGGATGTTGATGCTACCGCTGTTGCTGTTGTTGTGGCTGCTGCTGATAGGTTTCGACTGCTTCATACTTTGTAACAGAAATAGATCTATGAATGTGTCTGTCGTCGTCTTAATCCACATTATCGGTGGATACCAGTAGGCCTACATCTAATCATGTTTTACAGAAGTAGCATCAACGTCGAGGGGCCCCGGCCCCGCAGCTCATGGACAGCCTAGGGCCCCGCACTTAGTTAACGCGGCTCTGCCTTCGCCAACTCTTTCCACTCCTCTCTCTCTCTCTCTCTCTCTCTCTCTCTCTCTCTCTCTCTCTCTCTCTCTCTCTCTCTCTCTCTCTCTCTCTGTCTCTCTCTCTCTCTCTCTCTCTCTCTCTCTCTCACCCTCCCCCTCTCTCTCTTTCCCTCCCTCCCCCTCTCTCTCTGTCCCTCTCTCTCTCTCTCCCTGTCTCTCTCTCTCCCTGTCTCTCTCTCTCCCCCTCCCTCTCTTTGATTTCTTTTATTGACACATAACAACAACGTGGGTGCAGACGTGAGCAAATATCAAATTCTGGCTCACCCACGGCCACTGGATAACTAACAATCGTATTCAGATATTTTAAACATTCTCCTAGTAATAACTCCTTACGTCAGGAGCTTCGTTAAACTGGCCGTTTTCCTCCAGTATTTTTGAAAAGTCTAGATGCATACATATCTGCTTGCGGTCTCGTAACACATGCCTTAGCGCAGGTAGGACGTACGGTCCTCAGCGCCAAACACTATGGGGTCGTACGGTCCCCTAACAATAGCCTTTTCTATATTGTGTGTGCCAACATATTTTCAATATTCTGATAATCTAGTGATTTACTTAGTTTTCATTCATGATTTTACAAATTTTGCGATAACTCTGTACTTTTGTTGAGAGCAAGAATAAATTGTATTGTTATTTATATAAACGTTGTGATGCACGATCCAGTATTACCAACTTAAATCAACAAAATGATCACCTATAATTTTTGCCTTGGTGTCGTAGAAAATTGCCTCGGTGCCCTCTGATTTTTAGCCCCCACCGAGGCAATTTTTGCCTGCCCTCCTGAACACCTAATTCAAGCCCTGGGGACCGTACGCCCTACCTGCGCTAAGATTTGGTGTTAAGAGACCGTACGCAGATGTGCATGCAACTGGACTTTACAAAAATACTGGAGGAAACCGGCCAGTTTAACGAAGCTCCTGATGTCAGGAGTTCTTACTAGGAGAATGTTTAAAATGTCTGAATACGATTGTGGTGTATCCAGTGGCGGTGGGAGAACCAAAATTGAAATTTGCTCACGTCTGCACCCACGTTGTTGTTGAGTGTCAATAAGAGAAATCAGAGAGAGAGAGAG